GCCCTTCTAAAGTGCACAGTGTTTCAGGTGCAAGGTGGTTTGTTTCTTTTATTGACGATTGTACTCGGATAACATGGATATACTTGATGAAAGACAAGTCTGAAGTACCAGAGATATTTATTCGGTTTCATCACATGGTTGAGACTCAGTTTGGTAAGGGTATTAAAAGACTCAGATCTGATAATGGTACTGAGTACGTCAATCAACGCCTGTCACAATTCATTTCAGACAAAGGTATGATTCATGAGCTCACATGTGTTGATACCCCTCAACAAAACGAGGTTGCTAAAAGAAAAAATCGTCACCTTCTTGAAGTTGCTAGAGCACTACTTTTCCAGACATCTGTTCCTAGTTCTTATTGGGGAGAAGCAGTATTAGCTGCAACTTTTTTGATCAACCGTTTACCTTCACGGGTCCTTAACAATATCAGTCCTATTCATTCCATGACTTCCTTCTTTCCTTCTGTTCCCATATTGCAGAGCCTTCCACCAAGAGTGTTTGGATGTGTTGCCTTTGTCCATGTTCATAAACAACATCGGAGTAAGTTAGATCCTAGGGCTCTTAAGTGTGTCTTCCTTGGTTATAACCCTTATAAAAAAGGGTACAAGTGTTATCATCCACCAAGTCGGAAATTTTTTGTTTCTATGGATGTCACCTTTCAAGAATCTGAATCTTATTTCCTGGGTCCTCATCGTCAGGGGGAGAATAGTTCTTCAGAAGACTCGTCCCCTTCCTTCTTTGAGTCTGGATCAATCTTCTCTCTTCCTAGTGTGTCTGCTCCTGGTGTGTCAGAACCTTCAAATACACCTGAGATACAACCCATACTGTCTCACCAGCAACCTCAATCGTCTGAACCACTGGTAAGTCCTGAATCTCCTATTTCTTCTGAGTCTCCTGAATCTCCTGTTTCTGATTCTAATATTATTTCCTCTCATGATTTGTCTATTTCTTCTGATATCTCTAATGACTTACCCATTGCTTCTACTTCTGATGACTTACCTATTGCTCTTAGAAAAGGAAAAAGATCTTGTCACAATAAAACTTGTTCCTCCTGTCCCTCTTGTACTCAATACCCTATCTCCCACTTTGTTTCCTCTGCTAATCTTTCTGTGCAGCACAAAAGCTTTGTTTCAGCACTAGATTCTATTGCAATCCCAAAATCAGTACATGAAGCCTTGAAAGATAGGAATTGGGCTCAAGCCATGCAAGAGGAGATGAATGCTTTGGAGAAAAATAAAACATGGGAGGTTATTGATAGACCCAACGGAAAGAAAACAGTAGGGTGCAGATGGGTTTATGCCCTGAAATATAATTCTGATGGAACTCTTGAGAGATATAAGGCTCGATTAGTGGCCAAAGGTTACACTCAAACCTATGGCATTGATTATGAAGAAACCTTTGCTCCAGTTGCAAAGATGAATACAGTGAGAATCTTGTTATCCCTTGCTGCCCATTACAATTGGGATATAAATCAATTTGATGTGAAAAATGCTTTCCTCAATGGTGAGTTAGAAGAAGAAGTCTACATGGAAATCCCACCTGGTTTTGATTCTGTGAAGGGGGAAAATAAAGTTTGTAGATTAAAAAAGGCCTTGTATGGATTGGAGCAGTCACCTCGTGCTTGGTTTGGAAGATTTACTAAGGTTATGATGACCTTAGGATACAGACAGAGTCAAGGAGATCACACTCTTTTCTTCAAGCACTCCCAAAATGGGAAGCTTACTGTGCTCCTTGTATATGTTGATGATATTATTATCACAGGTGATGATTTTGTGGAGAGACAGATTCTGCAAACACGGCTTGCCTCTGAGTTTGAAATCAAAGACCTTGGGAAACTGAGATATTTCCTAGGGATAGAAGTAGCTCATTCAAGAAAAGGAATTTTTATCAGCCAGAGGAAATATGTTCTTGATCTTCTCAAAGAAGCAGGAAAGCTCGGGTGTAAACCCTCTAATACTCCTATTGAGCAGAATCACAAGATGGGCTATGAAGAAGAGAGTCCTCCAGTTGATAAAGGAAAATATCAACGGCTAGTTGGGAAATTGATATATCTGGCCCATACTAGACCAGATCTAACTTATGCTGTTAGTGTTGTCAGTCAGTTTATGCACGATCCAAAAGAAAAACACATGCAGGCAGTAGAGAGAATTCTTCAGTATCTTAAAGGTACTCCTGGTAAAGGATTGTTATTCCGACGTGATGACAATCTATCTTTAGAAGTCTACACAGATGCTGATTATGCCGGATCCGTGACTGACCGTCGTTCTACCACTGGTTTTTGCATGTTTCTTTGCGGTAACTTGGTGACATGGAGAAGTAAGAAACAAGATGTGGTTGCCAGATCAAGTGCAGAAGCTGAATTTCGAGCTATGGCTCAAGGCATTTGTGAGTTACTGTGGCTGAAAATTGTACTTGATGATCTCAAAATAAAATGTGAGGGACCTATGAAGCTGCTATGTGATAATAAGTCCGCTATTTGTATAGCTCATAATCCAGTTCAACATGATCGGACTAAACATATTGAGGTCGACCGCCATTTCATCAAAGAGAAACTTGATAACGGGTTGATTACCACTCCATACATTCCCACTGGGCGTCAATTAGCTGATCTATTAACAAAGGGGCTTCCTTCAGACAGATTTCAAGAACTTACTAGCAAGCTGGGAATGATAAATATCTATTCCTCAGCTTGAGGGGAGTGTTGTAAATAATATTGATTTAGTTATTATTTAGTTTTTATTTAGTCATTTATTGTTATATTGGGCCAAGCCCTTTGTTGTATTGGGCCAAACCCATTAGGTTAAAAGTAGGTCAAATATTCTCTATAAATAGAGAACCCTTTGTACACATTATTTACAATTCTATAATATATTCGAATACCCTTTTTCAAGTCGATCTATTGGTGAAATTGATTGGTAATAACCTAATCGGTTGTTACAATATCCTATCCCTTCCGAGAATGAATCAGTTCTATTTATGTGCTAGGGAACAAAAAAAAAATCAATTTTTATTTTTATTTTTTTTGTTCTCCGGCACAAAATTAGAAACACTTATTTCTCTCTCCTCTCCACTACTATCATCATCATAACCACCACCACCACCATCCCGACACGACCACCGCCGCCATCATTGTTGTTGTCGTCGTCCTATCACTGCTGTCATCGTCTCCATTACTACCACCTTCACGCCACCGCCACCATCACCACCACCATGCTGCCACCACCACCACCTCCATAACCACCACCATACCACAACCACATTATATGAAAAAGAAAGTGAGATATGAAATTTTTTTATGCTTAATAAGAATATTTTTTATTCTATTTATTGTTGAAACCAATGTTGTCAAATTCGAGTTTCTACGTAGAAACGAAAATGGGTGATAGAAACGTAAAACGTAGAAACGACACGAAACATAAAGTTTCTACTTTCTATAACTTAAGGTCAAGATACAAAATTATATATATGCAAGTAAAAAAAATCACATAATGAACATGTGTATTGAGCCACTTATCTATCTAAAAAAGAAAATTATTTTTCATTACCAAGTATCAAAATTATAAACATTGATAATTAATAAGTAATGGATAACCAATATGTTCTAACTGCTTTATACACTCTGTAGATTTTGGATCATCGCTCATCAGGATATAATTCCACTTTTTTCAATTCACACAATGATCCAAAAACACAAAACGATTCTTATAGCATAACTTATAATAGAATTGCAGCTTTATAAGACATAATTATAAAATACATATATCCAAACAAAAAGATATTAAGATACTGAGAATATGATTTGGGGAAAATGAAAATTAGATTTATTTATTTATTTATTTTTTTGTAAATCTTTTTTATTAAACTTTTAGTTTTAAATAAAAAAGGTCAATACGGTAAAAACGTAAGTTTTTATCATTTTTACGTTTTTACGCGGCGTTTCTACCGATTTTTATCAAGGACCGTTTTTACTTGAGTTTTAACACAGACCACTCTAGTAAAAACATAAAAACGTAAGTTTTTACGTTTTTACACTAGTTTGTGACAACGATGGTTGAAACACAATTCCTAATTTTGGAATAAAAATAGAATATATTATCAAACATGTTTTTGAAATAAATATAGAACATGTTATCAAACTTTCTTCATAAACAGTGCTAAAAAGTAAAATGATTGTGGGTCAGATGCTTAATATCATTCTACAACCAAAGTGTAACGCCCGCTTCAAGAATCAATGACTATCCCCACATACTAACACGAGACTTTTCAGTGTGTTTTTTCCTCACTCGCACACTTCCCGGGAAAACTTCCCAAGAGGTCACCCATCCCAGAATTGCTCCAAGTCAAGCACACTTAACTATGGAGTTCTTCCGTTCCGGGCTACCGAAAAGTAGATGCATCTTATTAGCATAGGTAGTACCAATTAATTCTCATAAGCTATTCCCAACTGTACTGTCCCATACCAGCACAGTCTCTGAAATTCCTCTCTTTCAGGTGTTGATTCGATTCATTCATGTACCCCGTCGCTGGAAGCCTGTCAGGAGCCGCTCCTCGTCCATGCCCTTTCGCACCGGCGATCACTCCCCGCCCTCGTCAGCACCCGGGATGTTACACAAAGCGTTACAAAATCACACATAAATGATTTTATCAGGGGAAATAATATTCTTATTAAACAAAATATCTAATCAATTACTGCTCTTTAAATTATTTCCTTGGTCAATAACTATAAATCAAAACAAAGAAAGTTATTTCCAAAAACAAAAAAAGAAGTTTTCCTTTGATTGGTGAATCAAGGGCTATGATCAAGCAACTTGCAATGGCAAAGTCCAAGAAAATTCCATTCTAAAAAGAAAAAAAAAAAAAAAAAAACTGCTTAAGACAATTCTCACGTTCTGAGTCAAATGTTTGGCGCACATTCAAGGTGGACCAACACGTCTCAAACGCTTCTTCCCTCTTTATAAAACCAAGTTTTCAACCCTTCTCACACATACACATAACCACCAATGGCAAAACCAAGTTGTTTACTCTATCTTTCTGCAACTTTTTGTCTTCTAAGTGTCGTCTCTGTTTCGTTGGCAGCACCAACAACAGAGTCCTCAGTGTATAGCGCTTTCCTTCAGTGCTTCACAAGACTCACAAATTCTTCAACTCAAGTCTCCAACATAGTCATTCCTCGAACCAATCCTTCCTTTCCCACCGTTCTCCAAGATTACATTCGCAATTCCCGGTTCAACACAACCTCGGCCCCAAAACCGTTAATCATTGTAACTCCTTTGCAAAAATCCCATGTCCAAGGTTCTGTCATCTGCGCCAAAAGCATAAGGGTTCAAATCAAAATCAGAAGCGGAGGCCATGATTACGAGGGTGTCTCCTATGTCTCGGATGAACCCTTTATCATCCTTGACATGTTCAACCTGCGTAGTATCTCTGTTGACATCGAAAACGAGGTTGCTGTGGTTCAAGCTGGTGCCACTCTTGGAGAACTTTATTATAGGATCTGGGAAAAGAGTAAAGTTCATGGCTTTCCTGCAGGGGTGTGTCCCACTGTTGGTGTCGGTGGCCATTTGAGTGGTGGGGGTTATGGTAACATGTTGAGAAAATATGGTTTATCTGTTGATTATGTAATTGATGCTGAAATTGTTGATGTCAATGGTAGGATTCTTAATAGGAAATCTATGGGTGAAGATCTCTTTTGGGCTATTAGAGGAGGTGGAGGAGCAAGTTTTGGTGTTATATTATCATACACTGTTAAATTGGTTCCTGTTCCAGAAACTGTTACCTTTTTTAGAGTTGAGAAAGCTTTGGAACAGAATGCCACTGATCTTGTTGTCCAGTGGCAACAGGTTGCTCCAAATACTGATGATAGGCTATTCATGAGGCTTCTTTTGCAGCCAGTGAGTTCCAATGTTGTGAAGGGGAAGAAAACCGTGAGAGCCTCGGTTGTGGCTTTGTTTCTTGGAGGAGCTAATGAACTTGTGTCGATTCTGCAGAAGGAGTTTCCACTCCTTGGCCTGAAGAAGGAGAATTGCACTGAGGTGAGTTGGATTGAGTCTGTTATTTGGTGGAATGATGATGAGGCTTTCAAAAATGGTGCCAAACCTGAGATCCTCCTTGACAGGAATCTCAACTCTGGAGGTTTTCTTAAGAGGAAATCTGATTATGTGCAGAAACCTATTTCCAAAGATGGGTTGGAATGGATTTGGAAAAAGATGATTGCATTGGGAAAAGTTGGGTTTGTTTTCAATCCATATGGTGGAAAAATGTCTCAGATCCCATCTGGTGCTACTCCATTCCCTCACCGTGCTGGGAATCTATTCAAAATGCAGTACTCTGTGAACTGGGAAGACCCATCAGCTTCTGCAGCACAGAGTTTTATAAATCAGGCTAGAAGGCTTTACAGTTACATGACCCCATTTGTGTCCAAGAGTCCAAGAAGTGCCTTCTTAAATTATAGAGACCTTGATATTGGGGTCAATGACTTTGGTGCAAATAGTTATCAAGAAGGGGTGGTTTATGGGGCCAAGTACTTCAATAACAATTTCGATAGGCTGGTGAAGATTAAGACTGTTGTTGATCCAGATAACTTTTTCAGGAATGAACAGAGTATTCCAGTTCTTCCAGGCAAGGCATAGAGCATCAAAGACTGAAGTTTATTGCTTAATTGACGCTCCTAACTTGTTTTTTTCTTTTACTATAATCCTATGTCAATGCTTTGCCTATAGGAGTATAGGTCCTTATTATTTTGGTCATTTATTTGACTATTATTTATAGCATTAAATTTGAATAATAATAAAATGTTAAATAAATGCGTAGCACTTTTATTTTGCATTTGTTCTTCTCTTTTGTTGGTCTGTAACTTGAATCAAATAACTTTTTGGTTCGGGGCAGTTGAATACTTCCAAGAGAAAAATGATATAATGATTTGGTTGAATTATCTCTAGTATCCTTTTGTGATTTGTGGAGGTTCGCTTTCCGTGCTGACCATATCTACTAGCTCTTATTTCGTCCAGTACTTTTCTCTTCACATTTTCTTGTGATGTTAACCCTTGAATATTTAATGCCCCATGTTCTGCAATGGATTTTTATCTGGCTAAAAAACCATTATAATCTTTTTCTCTTTCTTTTAATAAAAAACTAATTAAAAAAATATAAATAATAACTAATTACTATTAAGGCTATTTTGAATATTATTTGAGATATTGTCTTGCAAGATAATAGGTAGACAAAATTGCTGACTGTAGCATGTGGATTAATCCTTCCACATGCATTAGCACCAGCAAATAATCCGCTGTAGTTTTTTACTTTTCTTTTTTAGCTTTGTCCATCTTCATTATAATATAATAAATAAATTATTTTTATAATTCAAACAAACAAACGTCTTAATAAAAAACGCATTGATGTGTCTACCAAAAAAAAAAAAAAACGCATTGATGTACAGATGGTGACACTCACATTTTCTAAATGATTGACTTTTTAGTTACAATAATTCACGCATTTCCTAAGAAATGACGTTTTTAAATGTAAAAATTTCATTTTCACCCATAGTGATTTTATAATTTATCATTTGACTCTATATGGTTTTAAACTTGTCATTTAGGGGGTGTATTGGATTGAGATTTCAAAGAATTTTAACGGATTATTTTTGGACAAAAAAATCCAAAAAAATCCGTTGGTATTCAATCAGAATCACAATCTCGTGGTAGTCAAAAATCCGACGATTTTAATGGATTTTCTATTGGTGTGAATTTCGTGAGATTTTTTAGTGAAAAATATAAATAAGATGTCTCTTTCACAATCTCACCCTAACCTCTAAGATTTCTTGAGATTTCTCTATTTCAGTGTTTTCTTCTTCCGTTAGCAGGTTGACCCGCTCGAAATCGGATTCCGTCATGAGAGCTTAATCAAAACTTAAAAACAGCATATTTTTGAGCGATTTTCATTACAAAACCCAGAAACAACAAACCAATGAGATTTTAATATAATTTATCTCAAAAATAACATATTTTTGAAAATTTTTGGAAGTTTAAAAAGTTATTTTTCAAGCTATGGGTCGTAGTTTTTCTTGGCACAAAAAGATATATATTTTTTTATTAAAAACAATATAAAATAGTGGAAAAATAAAGGAAACTAAAACCCTTAAACCAATTTTCGTTTTACGTCAATGAAATAACATCAATTTAAAGAAAGATTGAAATTTTCATAATATGAGCCCTATATTCCGTAACAATACATTCATGAACGAAATTTTTTCAATATAGGAAAGGATTTCAAACAATTTTTGTGTCAATAGATAATTAAAAAATTATTTTTTAAAAGCTCCAAAGCAATTTAAGGTTTCAATGTATCGATTGAAAAAAATTTGAGAAATTTTCTAAACTTTCATGTAAAAAATCCAAAGATTCAGATTTGAAATTTTCTTAGAATATTCAATGAAAATATGCATATGATATATGGTTAGAAAACTCTCATCAAATAGAACAAAAACTCCATGGTTTTCAAGATCAATTGCAAAAAATTCCAAACAAAAATTTATCATGAACTTTATGTTTTATATGCAAATTTAGAATTATTTTAATAATTAAAAAATTGGATTTTATAGTCATATATGCATAGCTTTGATACCATATGAAGAAGATAATTTTCAACTCATTAGTCAAACCCAAAAGCATGAACGAGAAAATGTTAATGTGTGGAGGACTAGTATAACTTTTTTTTTTTTTTTTTTTTTGTAAATAGTATAACTTTAGATATATGAAGAGTTGTTGCTTAGTAATTTTGAAAGTTTGTTAAAAGTTATATTATGGTTTACTGATTGAGAAAATTATATTAGGTTTTACTTTTTTTTTATTAATTTCATTGCATTTCTTTGTTATTTTTTTTATTGACTCTTGTAATTATGAATGTTTGTTAAAAGTTCATACGTTTTTTTAAAATCTTATAAATCCATATTGTTCTTTCAAATCTTATAAATTCTATTAAAATCTAATCTTATGAAATCTTGATTGTAAAAAAAGCCTTTTAAAAATGTCTTCAAAGTCCATCAAATTCTAAAATGTCTTTTAAAATCTGTAAGATTTTTAAAATGAAAAAATTCATTTTCACCCATTGTACTTTTATAATTTATCATTTGACTCTATATGGATTTAGGAATATATTATTCTACCTACTTTTTTTCTACTTACCTTTGCGTACCACTATCTAACACCGTTAGATCAGAATTTTAATTAACATTTATTTTTCTCTCTCCTCTTTAAATTCTGATCTAACGGTGTTGGAGAGTTGTAAACAAAAGTAGGTAGAAAAAAGTAGGTATAATAACCTATCCCATGGTTTTAAACTTGTCAATTAAGTTCATTGTACTTAAATAATTTATCATTTAACTCTACTATCTGTTGTTTTAAATTTTCACTTACACTTATTATGATTATAAAAATATATCATTTAGACCCCTCGTGGTTTTATATATACATAATTTTTTTTCTTAAGTTTTATCTTATATTTCTTATAAATTAAAATTATGTACAGAAAAATATAGATTATTTAAATTTAAATTCATAATAATATCAATTATATCCTTATAATTTTATACATATAATTTTTTTTATTTTCTCTATTTTTTTATTTTATATCCTTGTCTAATGTATTTGTGGAAAATAAATAAAATAAAATATTAAAATAATTGACTTATTTTTGTCATGAAAATAAATTTAAATAAAATATTATTTTATTTTATCTATTTTTTATTTGATATTTTTATAAAATTATTTAAAGAAAGTAAATATCTTATTTTGATAATACATATTTAATTTATCTTAAATAATATTTTTTTAGTTTTTAAATATTTTTTTAAAATTAAAATAATTTATAAATTAATTCAAAATAAATAACTTGAAATATTTTTAATTTAATATTTAATTACTAATTTTATTATAATTTTATTTGATAATATCCTAATTATATAAAATAAAATTTATAAAAAGTAAATATTTTTATACTTTCAAGACCACAAGGGGTTTAAGTGATATATTTTTATAATCATGATAAGTGTAAATGAAAACTTAAATCACAGAGATTAAATGATAAAATTTTATTTAAGCACAATGAATCTAAGTGACAAGTTTACGTAAGGGGTCAAGTGATAATCGTAAAATCACAGTAGGTGAAAATAAAATTTTTCCTTTTAAGATATTTCTGTATACCTTACTCAGAATTATTCAAGAAAAAAGATAAAAGAACTATGAGAAAAATGTTTATAATTTTAAAGGATTTAGTTAAAACTAGTATTTTTTTATTTAAAATTTAAATTTAAAAAACTCTCACTTTCTCCCCCATAATTTTTATTGTGTATTTTTTTCTAACTTAAAATACACAATTCTATATTCTTTAACCCCAAATCCTATTGGCTTATGTCTAATTTCGTTCTTTGGTCGTTACGTATTATATACTAAAAAGTATACTATTGGTTATCGTGTCCTAACTTACTTATTTAGACAACTAAAGTTTGAGCTTAGCTTAAGAGATTACATATTATTTTAGCTAAAATGTCTTATTTTGAAGATTAATAACCGGACAGGAATATCACAAGATGACAAAATTGTTCTCACCAAATTTTTGATACAACTGGAATTTGAACTTAAAATCACTTGTTAAGTTGAAATTTCTACTCGCGAATTGATCACGTGGTAGGTAAAGTCGCATTTGGAAGTTGATTATATGCACCGAGTCTAAAGCCATAATACATGTTGAAGAACGCATGGAATTAATAATTGCGGTTATAAAAGTTAAATACGTCAGTTTAGTCACCTCACATGCGTCCCCTTACATGTGTCCTTTACTTCGGCTACCTCTCCATTCCCACTCCCACATATCTTTCCCCCCTTCATAAGTCTCTTCCCAAGTTTTAGGATGCGTTTGGTTTGAGAGAAAAATTTTTTTATCAAGAAAATAGAATTATTAGAAATATTGTGGGAAAATAATTTTAGTAGGAAAGTTTGAAAAAAATTGTTTGGTACGTTGAAATATTATCGGAAAAACTGGATTAAATTTTCTGAGTGTACATTTGGTTGAAGGTAAAATATTGATGAGAAAATTGATTAAAAATACTAAAATACCCCTTTTTAAAACTTTTTGAATTTGAATTACCGTTGTGCAAAGTCTCAGTATATATTGGACAGTATCCGTTGTGTAATCTCAGACCAGTGTGTTGATCGCTTCCCCTTCTTGCCCATTTAGCTGGTCAAACCCAAATACCACATCCAAATCATCTTTCTAAACAGTGTATGTTTGGTAGAGGAGAATTTTTTTTATCCGAGAATCTCAATTTTCAAAAATATGATTTTACGATAATATCTGAAAATTAAAAATTTAGAAAAATTCAGTTTCCCAAAAATTCCCAAAAATCCCGCGTACCAAACTATATGTTTTTTTGCAAGCATTTCTTCTGAAACGCTATGCAAATACGATGCTTGCGGAAAAATTTCAAATATCTCTATCAAACCTGACTTGCATACTTTGCCAAAGGTTGATGCATGGGATCTAGATATTGGAATTTGCTTAAGGAGTTATATACAACAAATGGGCACATAAAAGTTCAAGAGGCATAATCTTTTCATAGGTTTTGTAAATTGCCCATCTCAGAATTCCGTTGGCATAAGTCCCATGCCCTT